ACTACTATTATTGCCACAGTCATGACTGCAAGTGGGAATCCACCGTTGGAAACTTCCAGGCGCACGGGAGCTCCCTGGGGTTCGTGGGAAGGCCTGATCTCTCTTTTGGGAGGAAAACTGTTGCTTTTGGAAGCATGAAACAAATCTTGGAGAGGTTTTGCCGTTGAGGGAGAGGAAAGTGGCCAAAAGCTGAAGGAAAGGTCCCTCCGGAATGGCAAAGGCGGCCACAGGAAGGGCATTATTCACCAATACAGAGACCGAGGTGTGGTCCTCGTCCCCTCCCTCCCTCCCTCCCTCCCTCCCTCGCTCGCCCCCAAGGAAAACGTTCCCAAAGGGCCCTTCCCGGAGCCCACATTCCCGAGGAAGGCGAGCGCGCATTCCTTTGGAGAGGGCAAGGGCTCCTCGGCCTGGCTTTTCATAAGGCCTTGGCTCCCTTTCTGTCTCTCTCCCGGATGATTTGGCACCAGGATGAGAAAGCTGGCAGGAGAGGGAGGAAGGAAGGCAGGAAGCGGAATCCCTAGGATCTGGCTCCAGGGATTATTCATTTTCTTAGTTTGTAAATCCACAAAGAAGAGGCCCCTGAGGGAAATGGATACTCACGCCGCGATCGCGCCCAGCACAGAATGAAGTCGGCATCCCAGCGCGGGTTTGAATGGGAAGCAGGCGAAGAAGGGAGTGGCGATGCCAAGCGGCCCTCCGGCCTCATATTTTTAGCCTCCCTTCTCCCCCTTCGTCTTCTCTGCCCGGCCACCGCGGCGGGCTTTGATCTCGCCTCCCGGGCGCTCCTCCCGAGCTGCGGCCGCGAACTTGATCCCTGGCAGGCCAGCCTCGGGAGCGGGGCAAAAATAGACGCCGGCCAGGCTTTGGACACGGCCTAGCCCATGCCCTCTCCCCTCCGCCCCCGGCCCAGCCCTGTCCTTGGCTGCCGAAGGGAGGCCGAGCCCGAGCCAGCTTTCCCCGCTGCTTCTGCCTAAGGGGCTCCGGCTCTTGGAGAACCCCTTCCCACCCTTCAGTGGGCACAACTGCCCACTGGGACATTAGTCCCCTCCCCGCCCAGAAGTTTGAGTGTCCTCTGCAGCTCCCCAAAGCTCCTTTTCTATTCTGCTCCTGCGAATTTGCCCTAAAGTCTGCCTCTCCTTGTTCCTTCCTTCCTTTCGCGCTCTCTCCCTTTCTTTCTTTCTTTCTTTCTTTCTTTCTTTCTTTCTTTCTTTCTTTCTTTCCTTCCTTCCATCCTCTTTCTCTTTCTTTCTACCTCTCCTTCCTTCCTTCCTTTCTCTCTCACTTTATTTTTCTCTTTTTCTCTCTTTTCTTCCTTTTCTTTCTCTTTCTTTCTCTCCTTCCTTCCTTCCTTTCTCTTTCTCTCTCTCTTTCCTTTCTCCCTTCCTTTCTCTCTTTCCCTCTCTCTCCTGCCTCCCTCCCTCCCTTCCACTCTCTACCTTCCTTTCCTTTTCTCTCTCTCTTTCCTTTCTCCCTTCCTTCCTTCCTTTCCTTCCTCTCTCTCTTCCTCTTTCCTTTCTTTCTCCCTCCCTCCCTTCCTCTCTCTCTTTCTCCTTCTCCCATCCTTCCTTCTTCCTTCCTTTCCTTCCTTCCTTCCTTCCTTCCTTCCTTCCTTCCTTCCTTCCTTCCTTCCTTCCTTCCTTCCTTCCCCCCCTCCCTCCCCTTCCCGACCACTTCCAGGCAAAGCCAAGCGCAGCCCTTCCCTCTCAGAGGCATTTCCATTGTGGAACTAAAGCCATTCGATAGCACTCCACGGCACGGACCTTGCACAACTACAACTCTCCTGATCACGCAACAGTTAAAGCTGTGCCAAAGGGCTTTCGTTTTACAGTGTAGCCCCCCCCCCCCCCTTTAAAGTCTCTATCTTGAATAAAGAGTTGCTTACAGAATTCCTGCCCTCTTGACCGGCCAGAGGATGTGGTTTCAGCGCTGACTTTCCAGGACTATTTAGTGGTGACAGTTTGCCAAGGCAAAAGGCCCTTTGTGTGAATGGCTGCCTGTGGGACTCCTGGCCACCCCCCCCCACCTTCTCCCGCGCCGAGGACCCTTTTTCCCATTCCTGCCTAAGGGGCGCCCAATGCGCGACAAGGAGGCGGCCAGCCCGCCCGCCCGCCCGCCGCTTACCTGGTGAAGACGTCCGGGTAGTGGGTCTTCTGGAAGGCCCTCTCCAGCTCCTCCAACTGGTAGCTGGTGAAGGTGGTGCGGTACCGGCGCTGCTTCCGCTTGAGCAGCCCTTCCTCGGAGTCGCTGCCCGCCGAGAGGCACACGCCGTCCTCGCCGTCCTTGCCCTCGTCGCCCGGGAGCAGGGAGAGCTCCTCTTTGGGGGACCCCTCGGGGCCCTCGGGGGGCGGAGGGGGCGGCTGGAGGGGCAGCGGGGCGGGCGGAGGGGGCGCGGGGCCCGGACCCATCCCCAGCCCGCCCCGACGGGCCTCCTGGGCCTCCGACAGCAGCGCCTCGTCCTCCTCCTCGTCCAGCAGCTCCTCTTCCAGCTCGTCCTCCTCCTCCTCGTCCTCGTCGTCTTCCTCCTCCAGGAGATCTTCCTCGTCGCGGCCGGGCCTGCGTCCTCCTCCTCCTCCGTCGTCGAAGGGCGCGTTCTCCCGGTAGGACTTGCTGCGGCTGATGCTCACCTGAGGCGCCTGGCTGATCTTCAGCGCCTCCCACGAAGAGGCCCCCGCCTCGGACCGCGACACCAGCCGAGCCCCGCCGGGAGCGTAGAGGCGGCGCAGCTTGGGCGGAAGGTGCAGCTCGGAGGCCTCCAGGCCCGGAGGAGGGAGGCCCTTGGCCGGCCCTGCGAGAGGGGAGAAGGCACAGGGGACAGGCACCGGGTCAAGGCACAGGCAGGAAGTGTCACTCGGCAGGCTTCTGCTCACTGCACGGGGGGCACGCAACACCTGTGGTGGGATTTCTCAGTCTTCCTGAGTGAAGGAACCCCAATTCCCTTCTCTCTCCCTTTCTCTCTGGGCACATCTACACTGACCATTGAATGCAGTGGTTTCATTGTGCGGATCTCCTGGAGCCGGTTTGGGGCCCACGCCACAAAAAAGGACTTTTTTTTTTTAGTGGGGGTTTGTTGTCTGTCCGCGCAGTTGGGAAGCTCCCTTCGAGCTGCACTGAACGCTCAGTGTAGGCAGGGCCTTCCTCTCTAAAGGCAAACCGATCTAAAGCGGACTTTTTAAAAGGATGGTTACCTGACACCTGGAGGCCCCCCGTGGCGCAATAGGTTAAACCCTTGTGCCGGCAGGACTGAAGACCTACAGGTCGGAGGTTCGAATCCGGGGAGAGGGCAGATGAGCTCCCTCTGTCAGCCCCAGCTCCCCATGCGGGGACATGAGAGAAGCCTCCCCAAAGGATGGCAAAACATGAAAACATCCTGGGCAACGTCCTTGCAGATGGCCAATTCTTTCACACCAGAAGCGACTTGCGCTTTCTCAAGTCGCTCCTGACACATACACACAAACAAAAAACTGACACCTGTGGAGGATTTCTCCCATTTTGTAGAAGAATCCCGATCTCCCCCTCTCTCTTCCCTCCCTCTTTCTTTCCCCTTGTATTTGCCCTCTCTTCTCTCCCTCTCTCTTCCCTCTCTCATTCTCGGCCGGCTCCATGGAGGAAGAAGAGTCCCGATCTCACTCTCTCTCTCCCCTCCCTTTTTCTTTCTCTCTTTTTTTTGCCCCCTCTCCCTCTCTCTCCCCCTCTTATCTTTCTTTCCCCCTCTTATCTTTTGCCCCCCCTCCGCACCCTCTTATCTTTCTTTCCCTCTATTTTTGTCTCTCTCTGGCTCCGTTTGTCCTAAGCCAGGGAAAGCTTCAAAGGGCGCCCCGGTTTCCTACAAACCTCCCTCCCGGCTGACACCAGATCTCTTCACCTTTCGCTGGACGGAAAAATACCCCTCGGAGGCCTCCTGACAAGGGCGGACATTTGTCACCACAAGGCCTCCTCCTCCCCCTCCTCAACAAGAGGCGGCCTGGCTTCCGAGCGGGGTTCCATGGGGAAGATCCTCCTGAGAGGGGAGCCTTCGGGGCTGGAGTCTGCCAGGGCCTCCCTCCCTTCTCCTCCCTCCCCTCCTTCCCGGCGGGTCTCACCTTGCCCGGCCTTGTCCTGCGGCGCCAGGGCGGAGGAAGGGGCGGCAGCGCCCACCAGCCGCATCTTGCAGGGGCTCCTCCGGCCCAGGATGCTGTCGATGCAGTAAGAGGAGAGCAAAGTTGGCGATTTACTTTTGCAGCTCTCGGGCCTCTCGGAGCAGCTCTCGTCCTGGTATGGGCCGCTCATGGTGGCGCTGGCTGGCCGGGGTGGCGCTGGCTCTGCCCGTGGCCCCGGGCCCCTCCCTCCCTCCCTCCTTCCCTCCCTCCCCGGCGGAAGGGCGGCGAAGCGGGCGAAGCGAGGCAAGGAAGCGGGCTGGCAGCCGGTCGCGGCTCGGGCCTCCGTCTCTGGCCGCCCGGGACCCCGGCGAGGAGGGTAGGGACTGAGGCGCGCTCGCGGGGCGCGGGGTCCCCTCTCCTCCACGTGCAGAGAGCCGCGCGCTGATTGGCTGCCGGCAGAGGCTGGGCAGGCTCCGGCTCCCAGCCCCGAGGGAAACCCGGACCGGATTCCGCCGAGGCAGGAAGGGAGGGCGGAGCCAGCCGGACGGGACCGCCTCGCCCTCTCCTCTCTGGACTTTTAGCTAGCTCTGGATGGATGTGAGGAACCCCTTCAACGACCTTGCCCACTTCAATCCCCCGGACAGTTTGCGAGATGAGCACAGTGTAGGTGGGAAAAACCAACCCATTCACCATCCAGATGATCTTAAATTACATTTCTTACCACCTCCTTTTGAACTCGACATTGAAGAAATAATTCCCCCAACATCCCCTCTGAGATTGATTAAATCCATCGTGTTGTCCGAAGGCTTTCATGGCCGGAATCACTGGGTCGCTGTGAGTATTCCGCGCTGTATGGCCATTTCCAGAAGCATTCTCTCCTGACGCTTCGCCCACATCTATGGCAGGTGTCCTCAGAGGTTTTGAGGTCTAGTTACAAACTAGGCAAGTGTTGGGTCTGTTAGAAACTAGGAAGAAACCATGAACATGAACAAAATCTGGGTAACAGTATTAAAAACTCTAAAATCAGGACAGTAAACAAAGAGCAACACTAAAAAAGGGAGAATTCCAGACAAGAATAAATCAGGGCCAGCTAACACTTCCCAACAAAGGATTTTCCCAGGCAGCAACCAGACAGGCTTTGAAGCTGCAAGGCCATTCACTGCTAATCAAGGTAGCCAATTGCAACGTTTACACCTGCCTCAAACAGACAAGACTTCTTTCTCTCACCTTGGACCCTGGCTCAGTTTCCAACAGACCTCACAACCTCTGAGGATGCCTGCCATAGATGTGGGCAAAACGTCAGAAGAGAATGCTGCCTGGGGGATCCGTTGTTGGGAGGTATTAGCAGGCCCTGATAGATTCTTCTCCCACCCTGGACATTCCACATATATATAAACCTCACTTGCTTAGTTTCCAACAGACCTCATAACCTCTGCCATAGATGTGGGCGAAACGTCAGGAGAGAATGCTTCTGGAACATGGCCATGCAGCCTGGAAAACTCACAACGACCCAAATCAATAGTGGATTCCTGAATCAGCGGTCAGTTCTCCAGCAACGTTAGAATTATTTGAATTGTTTACCCAATTAGTTGGCTTCCCAATCATCATCCTCGTCGCTATTTATTCTTATTTATAAGCTGCTATTTCTCCCTTCAACAGAGACTCGAAGAGGCAAAGAGACTGAAAACATATAAAATATTCGGGAGTACGAATCATAATTGACCACAACATTGTGTATTCAGGGTTGGACATATGACTGTTTGTTTACATCTAGAGCAGACCTGGGCAAGCTTGGGTCCTCCGGGTGTTTTGGACTTCAACTCCCACCATTCCTCACAGCCTCAGGCCCTTTCCTTTCACCCCTCAGCCGCTTAAGCGGCCTGAGGCTGTGAGGAATGGTGGGAGTTGAAGTCCAAAACACCCGGAGGACCCAAGCTTGCCCAGGTCTGCTCTAGATGATTATTTTCTTTAGAAACTTTGTTGCTCAATTTTTCTGTTGACTTATATGTTTGTGTCTAAATGTGTTTTGTATTCTAGTGAATCCGTATATATCCCTTACACAATCCCACTTGAATTCTTCACTCCGAGACTAAAAAACGTGGGATAAAACGTCGGGAATGAAACGATGGGAAAACACGAATTCTTTCTCGCCTCTTCCATTTTCTCTGGGACGGATCCTACTCGTTAAATCGCAAACAAAACGAGGAACTGCTTCTTCGCCTTCTGAAACTAGGAATTGGGTTGTTGAGAGGTTTCCAGGCCATGTCCCTGAAGCATTCTCTCCTGACTTTTTGCCTACATCTATGGCAGGCATCCTCAGAAGTTGTGAGGTCTGTTGGAAACTAGGCAAGGTGGGTTTATATATATGTGGAAAATACAACAACCCAGAACTCTTGTCTGGGTTGTTGTAGGTTTTCCGGGGTATATGGCCATGTTCTAGAAGCATTCTCTCCTGGCCGGAATCACTAGGTTGCTGTGAGCTTTCCGGGCTGTGTGGTTATGTTTCCGAAGCATTCTCTCCTGACGTTTCGCCCACATTTATGGCAGGCATCTTCAGAGGTTGTGAGGTCTTGTCTGTTTCAGGCAAGTGTGAATGTTGCAGTTGGCCACCTTGAATAGCACTGAATAGCCTTGCCTACTTTCCAAGAGACCTCACAACCTCTGAGGATACCTGCCATAGATGTGGGTGAAATGTCAGGAGAGAATGCTTCGGGAACATAGCCACACAGCCCGGAAAGCTCACAGCAACCTAGTGATTCCGGCCATGAAAGAATTAAGAATTAGTTGTTGTCGAAGGCTTTCATGGCCGGAATCACTGGGTTGCTGTGAGTTTTCCTGTCTGTGTGGCCATATTCCAGAACTAGGAATTATTCTCAAATCACATTTCTGAGCTGTGGCCCCACAGAACCAAATCCGGGGTTCTCCGTGCCGTGGAAACCAGTGAAGCTTTGGTGGATGTTTCTGATGAAACGACCCAATTCATTTTTCCCTTGGAAATTGGGCAAGGAGGGCACTAACCCACCTCCTTGAAATCCCCCTTTAAGGTCAAGGAAAAGGTGCCAGGGCTTGGATGGAGGTCATCTAAGGTCACTACAGTTCATACTTGCTTTGCTTTGAGAATAATCCGAATCCCGCCTTTTAGAAAACGGTCCTCTGAGTTAAATATGCATTCATTCTAGCTGGGAAGCAACTTCCTCCTGTATCAATGCACTTAAGACCCGATCGGTGCCCAAGATGGTCCAAATATGCCCCTTTGTTGTTTTGCAGGCCGAGGGTGGTCTTGGAAGGGCATGAAATGGGCGCAAAGGAGGCTTCCGAGCCAAACCTGGGAGCAGAGACGGCGACGGGAGGAGTCCAGGCCTGGTTTTCTTTCCACTCCTCCTCCTCCTCCTCCTCCCTGAACGTGTCGCTTTTTTATTTTATTTTACAAAGACATCTACTTGAATCGCTTACAGTCGGTATTTAAAAATACAAGGATTTATAATTGGGATCCCTCTCTCTCCCTCGCTCTCACCCTCTCTCCCTCTCTTACTGTAATAAACATCTGGATAACTCTTTCAAATGCAAATGTGCGAAGGAGCCAGCGAGCAAGTCAGCGCAGCCTTGGCAGGAGGCGCAGCAGCAGCAGCAGCAGCAGCAGCACAAGAAGCGTGGCTGGCTGCATGGCTGGATGGATGGATGGCTGGCTGGCTTCTCCTCCGCGGGAAGAGAGGCAAAGCTCGCCCCGTCGGGCCAGTCGCTCGCCCTTTGCTCGCCGGGGAAACAGCCACACTGTCCCCTTCCATTTGCCGTAGCCTCCCCTCCCTGCCCTTCCTTTCCGCCCGGGAAAAGCCAGCCGTGTGCTTCATTTCCTAACGTTTGGTGGCAAATGTTTACAAAAGCGCCCTTCGAGGTCTTTCTCCTTCTCTTCCCATCGAAACACTGAATCATGGGCCATACTGGGAATCATGGGCCATACTGGCTTTGAGGGTTGGACGAGGACCACTCGTCTGGCCCTGGAAGTCCACTGGGCAAGCCAGGCGCCATCCCCACTGACCATTTAATGCAGTTTCAGGCCGGTATTGGAGAAAGCGGTTCTGCTGTGCAGAATATTGGAACCAGCTTGAGGCCCGGATGGGGGTGACGCAAGCCACAGATCCACACTTCATGGCTTTCTTTTTGGGAGTTTATCATAACTAGCTTCGACTCGCATTAAAGGGCCTCGCTCTCTCTCCGCCCCCTCTGAACAACTTTTGGTTGTTGTAGGTTTTTCGGGCTGTATGGCCATGTTCTAGAAGCATTCTCTCCTGACGTGTCGCCTGCATCTACTGATATATAAACCCAAATTTATATATCAGTATCTATGGCAGGCATCCTCAGAGGTTGTGAGGTCTGTTGGAAGGCAGGAAAATTGGGTTTATATATCTGTGGAAAGTCCCGGGTGGGAGAAAGAACTCTTGCCTGTCTTGTCTTGGCAACTCCTTCATAAGTCCGCTTTGGGGTCGCTTTATACGATTAGAAGGCATAGAACAAGCAGATGTATGCCTGTGTGTGCGTGTAGTTTGTTTCTCTCGGGAGTGAGGAAGCGAGAGGGACCCTTTGGCGGTTTCCTCCCATTCCCCGCGGCATGCCTTCAAAGGTCCCGGTCGCCCTTCAAGGTCGCAAGATAGGGCTCGGCCTCCTGAAAAGGGGATCCCGGGCGGAGGAGGGGTTGCCGGGCTAAGGAGCGAAGGGCTGGGGTCCCCAACTCTTTCGAGGGAGGGAGATTGTTATTTCCCCCGTCTCTTGGAAGACGAATGAACCTTTTCCCGGCCTTTGGCTTCGGCCTCTGTGGGCCCCTCATGGAGAATAGACATGGCGTCTGTGGGGCGACTCAAGGACGCCCTCCGCCTCAGCTCTTTCCCTCATCGGGCCTTTTCTGCCATCAAAGACTGCTTGGGCTCGATTTGCAATCATTTCCAAAGGCAGGACAGCCATTCCCACGCCAGCCTATTATTATTATTATTATTATTATTATTATTATTATTATTATTATTATTATTATTATTATTATTATTATTTCCTCCCCATGTTTCGAAATACTGCCGTCCTCACTTTCGGGGCCCCTTTTGGGCAGGAAGGGGTGTTTGGCCCCCGTGGTTTCTAGCCAGGAGGCCTCTCGGCCCCGAGCGGACACCGAGATGCCTGAGGAGGGCTTCACACATGCCTCAGACCCGTTTTCCAGACCCTGAGGGCTCCCGCCCTCCCCAAACGCGGGGCTGGAGGAGAGCCTCTTGTTGGCGCCGCTTTCCTTCCTTTCCTCTTCCCCGAAGGCTCTCCTCGCCTCACGAAGAGGGACCGAGTGGACCCTCTGTAGGGAAGACAGCGAAGCCCACAGGACTGAGTGA